GCACAACCCAGGCGGGAGGAAACAGCGACCGGGGCAGCCTCGGCACTACAGCAGCCTGACCCTGGGGGGGAGAACCCACCAGACCCTATGGCGGACTACGGCAGGTCCCAGGAGATCATCCAGAGCCCCAAAAGAGGTGGGGAGGGACAGCCCAGGCTGGTTACCAGCCTGGTTAGGACCAGTCCAGCCAGAGGAGGCGGGTGCTGAGAAAAGCCCAGGATTTTCCTAAGGCAGGAGCAGCAGAAGGTCCCGGGGGGTTAGAGGAGATGCCAAGCAGGGTGAGGGTCAGATACAGAAGAAAAGCTGGAACCGGAGAACGCACCAGAACACAGACACTCCCTCATAAACTGTTGCGGTGGCTTAAGACATTCACCACCCTACTTCTGAGCCAGCAGAAAAGCAATCCCAGAGCCACCTCACCACAAAGCCAGGCACTGATCCCAACCCACCCCCACCCTAACACCTACCTAGGCCCCCCCAGAGCACTAATAAGCCTCGCTGCCCCTGACTAGCCTCACCTGGAGCCTCTCCCCACTCCACCCATGGGCCCAGGAGGTGCATTTAAGCTCAGCTCTGGCCCATCAGTAACCTCCCGGCTATGCTGCAGGAGGACTAGTCTCCAGCTATGGCTGTACCTCTGCCTGGCTATTGACCCCCCCAAACCAGGTCTCATGCTTACAGCTACGCTTCCTAGTGTAGCCATAGCCTTACCCAGTCACTGTGGACCCGCCTGGTGATCCCTAGACCTCACTCTGACCAGACCTACTTCATCACCACAAACTTCCTTGATGACCTGGACTTTGTTGGACCTGGCTGCCACCTCCAGGACTGTGCTGCTTGCCTTGCTCAGGTCGCGTGGGACGGGTTCAGCTGGCTGAGCTTCAAGCCCCAGATGTGTGCAACCCACTGTAGCTGAGGGCAGGCTCTACTTGATGGACAGCTGCCATTTTCCATCATACCTAGCTCTGTGCTCCTGGCTTCCCTGAAGGGTGAGTTGAGCAAAGGGCTGCACACCAGAGCTCTTCTTTGAGTTTTAATGTACTGGAGTATTTCATATAAGACATCACCTGCAGGGAAGGAAAGCCTGCTCAGATGATTTTGTATTATAGCAGAGATTCTCTCAGCTGATGTTGTTGCTTAGATTTCTGTGCTACAGAGTAAGAGGCTACTCCCCATCCATTTGCAGTCCAGATGGACTAAAGGAAGAGGGTTGTCCTTGTCTCCAGCACACAACTGGCCCGGCGGAGCTAAAGCCTGGTCTGCTGGGACCCATCCAGCCCTTCTCGCAAGACCAGAGCTTGTGCTGTACGTGGATGGTCCTCAGAAACACCCTTACACTTAGTCTAACCTGAGCTTGGAGCTCGGTATCTGAAGTCATCCTTGGTGAGGATGCACAGGGCTTTGCCGTTCATTTCAAACTTGCTTTCGTCCGTTTGCCGAAGGGAAAACTCTTTCTCAGCCCATCTTAGCCAGTGGATCACGTCGTCCTTGCTCCACAGTGAGGGCTGGATTCCTGAAACCAGGAGCAGCCTCTGAAACAACTCAGTCTGCGTCTTTAAAACTGCAGAGGGGCAGGGTGAGATACTGGTCTTCTCAATCACCAAGCTTTCTCTCTGTATTAAGCACTCACAGGTCAAAAACACCCCAAAGAGAGAAAAAGGACCCTGATGACTGGTCCATCTTGTCCCCCTTGACAGCAGGGAATGGTCCCTGGGTGGGACCCCACAGCTGTACCCACCATGTCCCCACCCTGTGGGAACTTTTTTTTTTTTAAAGCAACATTGACTTGCTCAATATCTACTCACTCAGCCTGCCTGGAAGCTTGAAGATCTCCCCCTCGCTGACGGGTGTGTGGCTGGCCTGGGACCGGGGCGGTAACGAAGCTGTGACAATGGGGCTGGAAGAGCTGCCTGCCACTTTACCCTGGGGAAAAGAGATCAAACGCATCAGTGGGGGAAATTCCCAACTCTGATCCTGCCCTGCTTCAGAGATGCCTCCACCACAGCAAACACAGCTCAAATCGTTTCAAACTGGTTTCTCGTAGCGGCATGATGTGCTGTCTGCAGCTCTTCCACGCTGGCTCTAGGTCCTTTACCAGCCCCAGGATGAATCTCTGGTTGCGCAAGACAGCATTAGTAGCCAGAGACCCCCCTCACGTTCTCCAGCTCTTCTTTAGCAGAGGTGCCTGCCCTCATCCAGGCTCCAGACGTGGGTTACCCATCCCCACGGCTGCAGGGAAGTAGAAGATGGAGCCAACTGGCAGAGCCGGCGGTGCCCGTGCTGGCTCCTGCTTCTTGTGGGATCCTCAGATGCTTACTGGATGCCCAGGGTTTTAGGACAGTACTTCAATTCTTTCGAGCTGTGAAAATTCAGCTGGCAATAATACTTAGATTTTGTCTTAAAAACACTGGATGAAGAGATCTCTAACTTTTTTCTCACTGCGTGTTTGGGCATAAGTGGAAATAGCCATCCCACGGTTTAGAGAGCTGTCCTCTCCTCTTGTTCTCCTGCCTTACATCCCAGCCCTGCAAGAATTATTTCTCCCTCCGGGTTGCTCACTAACAGCCCCTCCAGCCTCCCCGAAGGGGGGAGATGGTCAGTGCTGGGAGGAGAGGCAGCCCCAGCACTTCTGCTGGGCTGGGGGGGTCAGCATGGCCCCCGCTCTGCCTCCGGCCTCTCGTCCATGAGCCAGAGGGAGCTCAGATCCTGCTTTCAGCCCCAGCTAGGGCCTGAAGTATTACTGGCAGCCAAGCAGGTGATGTTTCCCATTAAAAATCTATTAATGTGAATCCCAGCAATTTCTCAGCTTCATTTTCTGGGAAATTAACAATTTTGCCCACAAATAGTATTTTTCTGAAGTACTTGCCAACTCTGGGCGCTTCAATATGCCCTCAGGCAGCCTTTTGGGGGGGGGGGCAGGGGGTTAGAGCAGCCAGCGCTCCTCAGCTGTGCGTGGGGCAGGCAGAGGAGCCGAGCCCCCCCGAAAAATCAGGAGGGGGAAGAAAAATCCCAGCATGCGCTGACTGAGCAGATGGTGGTTGGACACATCTCGAATGCAAAAGCTGGTGTCCCCGGAGCATGGGAGACAGGAGCAAAGCGTTCCATCCCTCCCGGGGAAAACGCTTCCCTGTGATCCAGGGCGAGTTACAGCAGGAGAAAGGCAGCGGTTTGGTGACGGGTGAGGGTTTTTCTTCAGCAGAAGGATGAGTGTTAACAATCTGCCTGTTAGTGGTGTAACGATTGCGGGCTGCCGCGGCGTTATTGGTTTTAGCAAAGCAAGCCACTGCGTAACGTTGTACGAGGAAACCAGAGAAACTCCACGGTAAACTCTGAACAGACCCGACAGCAACGCAAGCTTTCAGATGCGTTCTAAGCAAAAAGGTACAGGGAAAAATAAAAGTGAAAGAAATTAGCAGTGTATTTTGTCTAGAACTTCTCTAAAAAGGTATTTTAGGTTTTCTCCCATTGGTGTGACTCTTACAAGAGTTGCAGTAAAAACAGAACAAATGTTTGATTATTTTTCTTGCTCCCAAAGATTTCTAAGGCGTAAGCAACACATTCTTAATCTTTATTGCTTTCTACCGATTTTATGTTCTTGGTGGTGTTTTTTTCCCTGCTTGGCTGCTTTCACACACGGTTCTGGGATGGCATTTCCGTGCTTCATGAGGAAATACTGTCCTTGGAGGGCCTCGAGTGGGAAAGCGAGGAAAGGGGGGTGACAACGCAAGCCCCGAGCTTGCAGCTCAGCCCCCCTCGGGGGGGAAGGAGCCCCCCGGCTGCTCCGGGCCCCGTGAGGCCGTGTGGAGGTGGGTTAGGGGGGGTCACCGCCG